TTTTATACCCTTTTGCAGCTTTGGAAATTAGTATCCTGAGGTAAGGTAGCGTTCTTAAGTAATAATCTATTGCATTTAACTAATCATATACATGCTCTATGAATTAGACTACTTACTTCCAAACTAGTTACACTGATTTGTTTGGAAGAAAATGTGATAGTCAGATTGTATTTCATGTAGACCAAGTGTCAGATGGAGAATACAATAGGAAGAACTACATTCCAAAAACATAGGAGAACCTTTTCTACTAGATTTTAATTCCCCCTTTTTTTCTTTTGTGTGTGTGTGTGTTTGTAATATTTAGTGATTCGCTTGTGTGACTCTGTTACTAGATGTCATCAGACTCCTAAAATTCCACTATTGGTAATAATCATTTAACTGGAAGTCTTCAGTGAGTGAACACTTCTGAAAATTGAGAAGTGCCACAGAAAACACTTCAAAGCCTAAAGATGGGGTGTTCCCCCTTAGAAAACCCTCTGTCTGATACCTCCTGTGTTGAAAATATTTTTAACCTATATTCTTAACTTACATATTTTGAAGCCCTGTCTCATTCTTTTGACCTTTGTGTCAGAGACAACTCCAGCAATAGTAGAGTCAACCATTTTAAGTCAATATTCAGTGATTTGTTTTGAATTTATTGGTGTCTGTGCACCAAATTCATTTGTACTATTTTTACTTACAGTATTTGGTATGACTTCAGATAGCTCAAAGGGTTATTTTATGCTTTCTGTTCCACTCCTATCTATAAATTTTGCTTTCACAGTGCAGTCAGCAAAACTAATGGAAACCAAGAAGCCACTTTTCTCTTTAAGAAGAAGGTAACTTCTGACTTTTCTAGTTTGACTAAGCTGCATCCAGCCTCCCATCACCTCTGGAGTCATTGCTGGGTTTATGTGAACAGTGACTGTAGTGGCTCTTCCCCTGCAAAATAAGACTTAGGATTTCATGTCACCAAGTGTTAGCTGTAGATTGGGTCTCATTAAAATAAACTCTGGACAGCAGCGTACATATTTTCATTTTCCATCTAGGTCTGAAAATGTCAATCAATTTCATTTTCTTGAGATTAGAGAGCTATCCCTTTAGAATGAGAAATTTTCTCTTGGAGATTTTTATTAATAGAATTTTACATGTAATTGTATAGGAAGAAATAATCAAAAAGATGGCAAGTAATTAGTTAAGAAAGCTGGATTATATCCTTGATACTCAGATGACACATGGCATTTATTTTTCTTAAAATAAATGTTAAGCCTTTCCTATCCCCTCTCATATCTTCATCTAGAATTTCATCCTCAACTAAGAGTTGCTTCAAACACAGGTCATATGATAAACATGCCCCCTATCATCCATCTTGGAAGAAACTTAATTGCTTTAATTATTTATATATATTGCAATTATCCTATATGTATTGAGGACCCATTATATCCCAGCTATTGTGCTCAATCAATCCATGCAAAACCACTAGAGGTGGCTATTTATAATCCTCCTACTATTAAATTGAGGAAAGTTAATTTCAGAGAGGTCATATTATTTCCCCCAAACCACAGTCCTAATAAGTAGTAATACCAAAAAATAATATAGCTATTTTTGCTAATTGCTTATCAGGTGCTAGGTAATGTGCTAAATGCTATATGTAGACCATCTTAACCTCACAGTGCTTTCATGTTGTTCTTGGTTCCCAAGTGAGGAAGCCAGGGTGTTACATGACTTTGCTCAGGTCACACAGCAGGTAAGCGGTGGAGACCAGTTTTAAAACCAAGCAAAATTTGACTGTTGCATTCACCCTCTTAGCCATCAATATATTATATTGCTCTCTTACTGTGCAGTATGTAGCAGCTCTGAATTAGAACTCAGGTCTCTTACTCTGGGACTTACTCTCTGTGTGCTGTGGCTTTTATCTGCCGGTTTCCCTTGGTCTCTTTGCCCTTCCTTAAAATGGGAGTTAGAAACTGAACTCTGTAATGTTGTGCCTGTAAGAAATGCACCTTGGGTTTTAATGTTGTCCAGGAGCCAGTTTTTTGCTGCATTGAGGGTCATCTTGGGTATAAGTGGTGGCCTGTGGGCTTCCTGGAGCCAGCTGTTGGCTTGCGTATTGGAGCAATGGCATCTGTGATGCGTCCATGAAAGTCACGTGTTTCATTAGCAGGCAGAGGGCTTGATCGCTAGGATACACCTTATTTCTGCTTTTGAATCACACTTTTGAAAGTTAGCTGCCAAACTTTTTGATAAGCCTTAGTGGGACCATTCTTTTCTTTTAGTTTATATATTCTTCAATCTTCCTCGTAGGTTGGGATAATTCTTCATTATTCCACCCTTGCCACAGTACTGTGGGTGGGAGTGACAGCTCGAAACATCTATAAACAAGTCACTAAGAAAGCTAAGAGATGCCAGGACCCTGAGGAACCACCACCTCCACCAAGACCAATGCTCAGGTACCTAATATCTTTGTTTGGTGTGTTATCTTAAACGTTAATTAAATAGCCTGTTTGCTTTAGTTGAAGCATAGTCATCAATTGTTATAAAAAATTGCTGAGTCAGTTTTTGGGAAGTGGAGGAACGGACTTGTAAGCTGGACTGCCTGGTTTTGAATATCGGCTGTGCTGTCCTTCCGGCTGCAAGTCCTCAGTCAACTTGTGCGCCCTCTCTGATCCTTCCTAGACCCCCTCCAAAGTGGGGCTGATTCTACCTCATAGGATTGTTGGGAGAAATAAATGAGTTAATGTGCAAAGCACTGAAGATGGTATTGGCTGTATAATAGGCTCCATGAAAATGTCAGCTGTTTTTATTTCCTTGAGGTCACATGTCATATATTTTAATTTACTCAAGTATATACCCATTTAGTTATTCTGTATAAAGAAGCACACAGATTTGGAGTATGTCCTTCCTATCCATTATAATAAGAAAAATTGTAAATGGATTATCATGCTGGGTGAGTAAAAATCTATCAATGATGACTGAGTTTGTTGAATGCCTGCTGCGGACCTGGCCCTGAGCCGGGACTTAAAGGAGACCTCCCCGCCCTGGAGGAGTTTACGGTCTGTGGGAGGAGACAGGCCCGTGAAGGACTGACTGTAGGCTGCATGGGAAGCATAGTGGGGATATGTTCTTTGAAAGTTCAGAGAAAGGAGCCATTAATTTCGGGGGGACGGTGGGCTGTTAGGAAATGCCGGCCCACTGGCATGAACCCTGTCGTGATTCCAGCGGAGTGTAGAGGAGGCATCTAAGCAGAGGAGGAAGCCTTGAGAAATGCAGTGTGGCTGGAGCCTGGGGTGTGTGGTGTAGGGTAGCAGGAATTCAGGGTGAAAGCTGGGGTTGGGGCCTTTGGAGACCCTATTAAGACATCAGCAGCCACTGAAGATTTTTAACTAAGGAAGTGGCCTGACATGGTGTCATTTTAGAATGATAGCGATGGCACTAGTATGGAATATAAATCGGAAAGCCGGAGAATAAGGAATTCCACGGAGGTCATTAGGACAGTCCCCATGAGGACTGAAGCCAGAACAGGGTCGTAGAGAACAGAGAGGAGGGCACGTGTTCCAGAGGCTTGGGGCAGTTTCTCTAGGATCGATGGCCACCTGAATTTAAGAGGTGCATGAGGGAGAGAAATTTAAAGACGGCTGCAGATTGTCTGCTGTGGCCAGCTAGGGTGCCTTGGCAGATGGTGTTTCCATCAAGTGAGAAGTATTAAAATATTAATAATACAGGAAAAGAAGAAATGGGGGTGGGCATGGAGGGTAGGGGCAGGGGAGGTAGGCTCACCACTACTTTCTTGTGAAAAGTTTACGTTTTTGGAAGTCCAGGGCTCAGCAGAGAAGACAAGCTAGACAGAGTCTAGACAGGACAGGAGACATTTCCTAGTGTGCTCATCGAAGCCATGATAATGAACAAGATCTCCCAGGGAGAAGTTCGTTAAGAAAAGAATGATCCCTGGGCCATGCCAATGTTTAGTAGATGGGCTGTGGAAAAATCCCTGGAAGAACCGAAAGAGAACACCTGAGGCCATAGAAGATTCTCGGGAGAGGGGTTCCGTGGTTGACAAGGAGCAGTGGGGGTGCTCGGCGGCCCAGACTCACATCGTAGGATGAGATTTGGCACCTTCTTCGCTTGTGTTAAAACAAAGGAGAGATGATGTTTGGCTAAGAGACTTGGGAATCCTATCCTCAAGCAGCTGTTCCTTCCTGTAAGATTCTGAGAAAAAAACACAAAGCGTTAGGAAAAGGCAGCTTGGACTCCAAACTCTATGCGGTCTCCACATGACCCCCAAGGACCACCGTTTCTTTAGACAGTGCAGGTTCCACCCTCTAGGGCTGGTGCCTTCTTCTTCCACGTCCTTGAGCATCATCAGGAAGCCCAAGCGACACTCCCAAGTGGTGGGGCATGGGCCTTGCCTATGAGCCTCTCCTGGCCCCGGAGAGGGTGGTTTCAGCATCACGGTGGGCTATGTAGGGGGGTGGGGGGGTAGCCCCCCAATAAGGTGAGACAGGCAAGGCTAATGGTCATGCCAGTGTTTCCAGGAGCTTGTGACAGAAGGGAGAGAGAAAGAAGGTGATAGTTCAAGGAAAGTTTTAGAAGATGGGGGGAATGTGAACGTTCTGTGTAGGCTAAAAATAAGAGGGAGTAGAGAAAGGGATTTTAAAGCTGCAAAATAAGGGTTGATAACAGGAAGTTGCAGGGAGGAAAAGAAGAGGCACAGAGAGGATGAGAGAACCCAAGTTTAATTTTGGAAATGATGGTTTCTTTTCAAGGAAGAAGCAGATGTGAATTAGCGTAGTAGGAGGAAGGGGAGGGTTAATATATTGGCTTCCCTTTTATCTGTGAAATAGAAGGCAGGGTTATAGTTTTATAGGGTAATTAGTTGTCTTTTCTGCAATACTAGTATATTAAAGGATTTTAGTGATGGTATGATGGAAAAACAATATATTTTTCCAATGTGTCAGAGATAGTGCCTGTATCCAGCCAATTCAAGATTTGAGGCTGTGTCTCAAGAAGGGGACAATGCAAAATTAAGATTCTGATTGAGCCAGGGGTATCCAGCTTGGCAGAAAGTTCTTGTCAGAGAGATCAGAGAGCTCGGAGATGCTCCAGCCACATCTTTCTTCCTAAGACCAGTCACTACACTGTCTCGCTCAGTTCTTGTTGCACCATCATTTCCCTTGCTCTCCACAGCGTACTCCGTAGGGGAGGGGTCCAGGAGGGCCTCTGCAGCATGGGAAGCTACTGGAGTCCAGATTCCTTTCTTGCTTCAATCTCAGTTGACTGGGGATGAGATAACATAGCAGTCAGAGGTCATGGAATGTGCAGGCTTAGCTGAGCATTAATCAATAATTAAGACATCCTTACATTTTTTTGCATGAACTATGGCACAGTGAAATCTTAAAGTCCATTTTGTAATGGACTGACTTCCTAGTTCACCAACTAAATGTAAAAGAAGCCAATTCCCCCTAAAAACATATGTATATATTTAGCATATATATATATATATATATATATATATATATGTATGTATGTATGTATAAGCTAAATGCTTGCCTGCAGGAGCTGAGTGTTACTTTGCCTGTCCACAAGGTGGCAGAAGCTGACCAGTTTTCCTCAGCTTGGAAACTACCTCCTGCTTTAAAAAAAGACATGGGAAAATCAAAACAAAAACATGTTGTCGCTAATGAAGCAGCCTCTGAATGAAGCAGCCTCTAATGAATTTGAGTGAACTCTCAGCTTATTACTGGAATAAGAATAGTAATTAATCTTCAAGGAATGACTTTTGAAGTACTGAGAGACTGTGATAAATATACCTTAAAAAGTAGAATGATGAGCAGCTATTGCTGTTATTCTTCCTTCTAGGTTTTACCTGATTGGTGGTGGCATCCCCATCATCGTTTGTGGCATAACAGCAGCAGCAAACATCAAGAATTACGGCAGTCGGCCAAATGCACCCTAGTGAGTATTTTATATTTGTTGTGTACCTGACCCAATTGCTTCTCTTTTAAGTATTTTCTAGACATTACAGTTTATTGCAAGTTCTTAAATAATTTGTTGAGGTGTGTTGCATCTGATCTGGCTTACTGTCTTCTCTTCTAGCTGCTGGATGGCGTGGGAACCCTCCTTGGGAGCCTTCTATGGGCCTGCCAGCTTCATCACTTTTGTAAACTGTATGTACTTTCTAAGCATATTTATTCAGTTGAAAAGACACCCTGAGCGCAAATATGAGCTTAAGGAGCCCACTGAGGAGCAACAGAGATTGGCAGCCAATGAAAATGGTGAAATCAATCATCAGGATTCAATGTCTTTGTCTCTGATTTCTACATCAGCGTTGGAAAATGAGCACACCTTTCATTCTCAACTTCTGGGGGCCGGCCTTACTTTGCTCTTATATGTTGCTCTGTGGATGTTTGGGGCCTTGGCAGTTTCTCTGTATTACCCTTTGGACTTGGTTTTTAGCTTCTTTTTTGGAGCCACGTGTTTAAGCTTCAGTGCGTTCATCATGGTGCACCATTGCGTTAATAGGGAGGATGTTAGGCTTGCATGGATCATGACTTGCTGCCCAGGACGGAGCTCGTATTCGGTGCAAGTCAACGTCCAGCCCCCCAACTCGAGTGGGACGAACGGAGAGGCACCCAAGTGCCCCAATAGCAGTGCGGAGTCTTCGTGCACAAACAAAAGTGCTTCGAGCTTCAAAAATTCCTCCCAGGGCTGCAAATTAACAAACTTGCAGGCTGCTGCGGCTCAGTGCCATGCCAATTCTTTACCTTTGAACTCCACACCTCAGCTGGACAATAGTCTGACAGAACATTCGATGGACAATGATATTAAAATGCACGTGGCGCCTTTAGAAGTTCAGTTTCGGACAAATGTGCACCCGGGCCGCCATCATAAAAACAGAAGTAAGGGACACCGGGCCAGCAGACTCACGGTCCTGAGAGAATATGCCTACGACGTCCCGACAAGTGTGGAGGGAAGCGTGCAGAATGGCTTACCTAAAAGTCGGCCGGGCGGTAACGAAGGGCACTCCAGGAGCCGAAGAGCTTATCTAGCCTACCGAGAGAGGCAGTACAACCCGCCCCAGCAAGACAGTAGTGATGCTGGCAGCACACTTCTCAAAAGCAGCAGAAATTTTGAAAAACCTGTTTCAACTAGCAGTAAAAAAGACGCTTTAAGGAAGCCAACCGTGGTTGAACTTGAAAGTCAGCAGAAATCTTATGGCCTCAACTTGGCCATTCAGAATGGACCAATTAAAAGCAACGGGCAGGACGGACCCTTGCTCGGTACCGATAGCACTGGCAATGTTAGAACTGGATTATGGAAACACGAAACTACTGTGTAGCATTGCTGGGTGTCCTAGGCAGAAATTGATGTGAACTGTGATATTCACATTCCCTTAAGCTATGAACATTTAAAAACAGTTTACAGCCACCTTAGGGATTCAAAAGAATTTGGAATCAACTTAGAAGTTTTGGATTTTACTTATTGTATATCCCCAAATTGTTGCCTTTTTTTAGAAATTAAAGAAAAAAAGAACCTTTTTAAACATTGTTTTAGTCATCAAGGTACCGACAGGCAATTCTGGGAATCTGAAATGTAATTTCTTGGACTTTGTAATATATACTTTGCATTTCAGGCTTCTATTTAATACAATAAATAGGTGTTTCTCATTGTGCCAATCTTTTATTTTTGTATTTTACAACATGAGCATTTAGTTCAATTTTAAAGAAGTTTGTGCATTGAGAGATTTTAATGAAAATTATATTTAAATCAATTATCGTATGTCCATGGTTAACTATACTCATTATGGCTTCTAAAGCAAAGTGATTTTTGGATTGCTACATTTTGTAAATATAGTTTTAAACAGTATGGGTTTTTAAAAAGATCTCACAGAATGTTTTGTTGAAAACAGAAATGCCTAAAACACTTTTCCTAAATTGCATTACTTTTGCCATGTCACTTTGATCCTGTTAATACGATTTTCAACACTTTTGTGGCTTTTCAGTGGTTTATATTTGGGTTAAGTTTTCTTATTCTTTTCAGTGGGGGAATGTAAATGAAGAGCTACCATGTAAGGTTCATATTCACTCATTCTGGATTCTTCAGCATTGGCCCTTGTCTTGACCATTTTTTTGTACTTAAACACATGAAGTTCTTTAGGTTCATTCTAAAGTACTGATCTTTAAATTCCATTCTGAAAGGAAATTTAAATTTTCAGAATTCCATTCCCAAATTGCAAAAACAGCTAAGCTCCAAAAGTTATCCTTGCTCTTCACAGCACTAAAATCCTTTCTGTCTCCAGTCTTGAATCTCACTGGGGTTCCCAGTTCCCCTCATATGCAAGACAATGCCTGAAAGTTTGTCACACCTTAACTCTCTTTTTAGCAGAAGTCTAAAGGTTTGAATCAGATCAGATTCAAAAGCACACATTCAAGAAATGTTAAAAACACTTGAGCAGCTTAGCTTGATGAACTTCAAAGTCTGCTTACTTGAGAGAGCAATTCTCAGAGCCATTGTGAGATCACCCATTGTGGCGTGAATAATTCACTTTTGATTGGGTTACTGCATTTGAAACAAGTTATTTTGCTTTGCAATAATAAAACTGATCATTCTATTTAAGCCTTTTTTTAGGTGTTAGTTTTAGAGACATTCTTTTTGGTGGGAGAAATAAGGCATCCAACAGATACATTTGCCATTTATACATTTAATATACTTCCGTGCCTAGGGTCTCCTGATAAATTAATGTATTATGTACAGGAAGGTGTCTATAAAGATAAACTAATAAGTAATGGAATGAATAATTTTTATTTATTACTATTTTTATCTTGCTCCGTTACTCTGCAATATATTATTTCAGTGTTTAATCTGTTTGACTTGTTGGTCAGCTCTACATAGGGAGAGAACTTTCTTGCTCTTCTTTTTCCTGCATATCCATAAGAAGTGAGAAATTTCTCTTCCTGGAAATGTTCCCCATTTATTAATTTATATATGACCTCTTTTAGGTAGAAGAACAGGAACCAGAGTGGGAAAGGACTGAAAAAGCAATTTGAGACTTGAAGAAAATGAAGATTCCACTAAAATGCTTGGGATTTTAGAGAATGATGAGCAATGACTTTATGCATTCTTATTATTTGATTGAATTAAAGTTTGATATTTGTATTATATATGGGAAGTGAATAGTACCTTGCATTTCCTGCATATTTGTTTTTTATGTTTTATGACTTATTGCTAGCTGAGATTTCTCTATTTTTCTTAGAATTGTAAACTGTTAACAGATGTTTCAGTTTTCTTAGAGATGAGCACGTTCATTTAAAACATTTGGCAACCAAGATCCAAAGAATTTGTGACTTTCTGGACATGCCAGCAGGTTCTAAGGTTCTACCGTATCCGGGAGTAGCCATGCTTCCCAATGCTGAGGCCACTGTGCTTGGCGCCACATTTCACTGCTTCTGCAATGTTTATAATTTTATTCTTTATTCTCATACTAGTTATTTTGAGTTTTAGTTTCATAATGAAGTATAATTGGTTATATTCTACTTCAGAATATATACATCATTTATTCTTTTATTCCATGAAAGTTATTTTTTAATACATACATTGT